ATTTTGAAATGGGCCGATTTACGGTCTTATACGCCCCGCACTTTTCTACAAAGTTTAATGCCACTACACCGTTGATAACTTTTCGAGAAAAATAAAATGAAAAATTCTTCGAGCTCCGTCAGTCAAACTGAAGTTGATAACATCATTGCTGCTATATTAAGAAAAACTGACCTCACGCTTATGACTTTCAATAGGACCGGTCTAGTTGTTCTCAGAGAACATGTTTTTAGACTTGTTATACTTCCATCAATAATAATAAAATTCACAAAAAATGGCCTTTGAAGGTATTCTGAGCGTTGTCCTGTCATTTTTCTATATATATATAAAATATTGTGGTAGCTCCGAAAAACTGCTGAAAACTCAGGAATTTTGCAACAGGAAAGGCCTAATTTGCTTTCTTCAAAAGTGTTTTCTCGAGTACACCGACATTTCGAAGTGAGAAAAAGCCGAGAAGAGCTTTTCCAAAACGTGGCAGAGTCTGCATAGATTGATCCAGTGTTTTTGCCTTCTCCAAATTGTTTTGGAAAAAGCTTCCAAGAAAAGGAGAGGGGCGAATGAGCAGTACAAAATGCGCGGCGAAGAATTTCCTCATAATTAATTGATAATCTGTTTCAGAACGGTGAAACGAGCTTTGTAAAAGCAAACTGAGTGAGAATCATGTATATCGAATCTAACTTTCAGGCGAAGATGTTGTGATTCATAAGATACAGCTTTCATGAGTCGTACCTGCTTTTCTTATCCTTGAGAGTTGAAAATTTTAGAATACTTATTCGTGATAGAAAACGCATAAAATTTTCTACCACTTTGTATGTAACTCATTCGTTTTTTGGGTAGTTTCCTGGCCATAATGGTCTGATTCTTGCATTAAGTACTACATCAGTTTATCATCGATGGCACCGTTTGTATGCTTTTTTCGGGCAGCAGATTTCTCTAATATATCATTCGATAGAAGAAAGCAAGGTCTACAACTTGGTATATAAATTATTTCATTCTCAGGTTGGCCCATACAGTTTAAGTCGTGTGGAACTGTTTCAGAAAAAATTGTATTTGTGAAAACGAGTTTGAGTGGAAAAAAACTTGAAAGCCACTAGCAAAACAAACCAGCGCGAAAATTCAATAAATGCGAAATGTGCGAAAGCGAACGATAAAAGGACGAAAAGTTATTTTCCTTTATTGCATTGCTGGAAATTACAAGTGAGAAATTCGTGCACTAAGAAATAATTATTCATATTTAACCAGTATTTGTTAAGACTGATCTGTCTTTATGAATCGCAACCGCTTGACCGACATGTACACCTTGCCAACAACTGCATTTTAGCCTGAGCTTCTGTGGTCACTATTATCTTGAAAACCAGGATGTAAGTGAGGGTGCAGAAGAAGGTTTCAGTGAGGATATTGCAACTATGGCTGAATCTGATTGTAAGTAACATTTAGATCGGCGCCTTCAGAATTTTATGCCAAAAGAAATTGTATGTACTAGAATTCATGCCATAAAGATCTGCCAGTAAAGAATATCAGACCTGTGTACATCTTTTCTCATACGACAGTTTAACCTTGCGTTAGTAATAGGGTAGGGTCTGAGCAAACCCACTTACAATTTTTATTTTGGCATCTCTTTTCTGAGAAATGAACTATTTACCCGGTGAATATATTTGGTAGCTCTATGTTGGAGTCAAATAGCAACGAAAAGAATTCATCTTATCTTTGACGTTCGGGGAAGATTTTTGAATAGTGGGAAATTGCGAAAAATTAGGACGCTATCGGAGGCTTAATCTGGAGATTTTCGGCAAAATAAACTGGTCGACCAAATAGAGTTTTCATTTCAATTATATTTGCTCGATTAATTTTTCGCTGAACAACATCATATCATTTGTGTCACTCATAATTATTTCAACTGACAATAGCCGTATTTTTGATACACGTAAGCGTTGGCTCGATCAGAAGGAACGTCATATTCAGACTCAGCACAAAAAAATGAGTTGATCTATGTGGTTTTCAAAGTCATCGGACCAATTTCATTTTGCACCCACATTTTTGTCCTGGTGTGCCTCACGGATGAGTCGGAAAATTAAACGGGCTTAGATGACGATTTTATCCGTTAACTAACCATATTTTCAAGTTTTTATTGCACTCTAAACACCAGGGATATATTTTCTTGAACCCAAACAACATTTTCACGGATTCCATTTCCTAACACATCCCTGAGGAATATTAGGGCACTTTGTGGCCGAGCCAACGCTTACGTATATAAAAAACCCCGTGATATTGGATGAAAAACACAGTTTTCACCGGTTGAAATGATTACGATCAACATAAACTGTACGGGCTAAGTTGGGAATGAAATAATTTATATACCAGGTGGTAGTCCTTGCTTCGCTCTATCCGATGGTATACTAGAGGAATCTGCTGGCCGAAAAAAGTATCCAAATGATTCAGATATGGTTCAGGGCTAAGCTACACAACATTAATCATGAATACATTTACGTCGAAAAAGTAATTTCCTTCACTTTCATCTGACTTTACATAGCTCTCTCTCTTCTCATATTTTTGCCACCTTACACTATCTATCGCGCACAAAAACTATTTGATTTATGGATGCGAAAAATCAGCTATCGAAGCACACATTTCAATGCGGCAATGTCTGGCTGTAGTGAAGAGCTCGTCTCTTTCGATTGACTTCCGTTGCACTTTATACTCAATGTCAAATCAGTTAAACAACCGGTCTTGCTAATAGTGGATGGCCATCGATCTCATTTGTCAACTCGAATAATAAAGTGTGCAATGGATATTAGAATTCACATCGAATGTTTACCACCATACAGCGCGATAATTCTACAACCATTGGATGGATCACTCACCGAACAGATATTTGCAGTTTTGGTGAGTTACATTTTATTGTTTAACAAGCCTGACGATGTCTCGTCATTCAGATATTAGAGTTGTTTAAAAGTCATCTATTAGCTGGCTTCTGTTCTGAGGGTTCCCCAAAAGCTGTTATCTATCCCTTTGAGAAACGCACAATATCTAAAGAGAAACTTCTTCAGCCTGTGTCAACATCAGACGATGATGAAACAGCTGCTGGAGCGAACACAACCGACGATGTTATTAACGTCTCACCAACTCTTTGCGCCGACTGTCATGTCCAAATACTTCCTCAGGTAATATAAAATAAACATCTTTATGAACCTTGATTCTTTTACTGTGGATTTTCACTCACTATCAGATGGTATTTTGTCCTCAGTCGATAGTAATCTAGTGATAAATAGAAAAACTTGCAATTATATGGATACGGATTTCTTCGGTGACTGCTTTCGCGCTGTCAGGTGTGTCGAAAATGAACATTTCTCTTTGTATCTTTCTTTTCCTCAGATGTCAAAAACTCCATCCCTTTATCTCATATGACTTCGTCAACGACAAATGATCGTGTTCACAAAGCGTTCTACAGATACTTAANGGTCCCAATAGAGGTTGGCCAGAAAATACGGAGCCGTAAGGTTTCGCACTAAGGTTTCGTATTTGGCGGCGAAACTTAAAAAGGTTCCGTGATGAGGATTCGGAGCGTGTGCCCGCCGACCGATCCTTTTTTGGTTTCGCAGATTCTTGAAAACCATTTTTTTCAACATGTCGACACATTTGGAAGCTTTGAGCATCTACGAAACTTTTTCGAGGGGTTTGGTAGAACACCTTATTTTTTTTCAGTGAATACTGCTACCTCACTTCTACCATAAATATATGCTCTTAACTATGCGTCAACAAATGTCATGTGGAACATTTCTTTATTTCATTAGAATCAAATAAATTCAAACGGGAACCCATCACTATGTACAAGCTAGATTCTTTGGCAGCGTCGCACGATATTGCACCTACCACATGGCTTAACATTTTTCCAGTATTCGCAGCGATTCTCTACGATGATAGAACATTGCAAGCTGCGCATTTTCCATGGTTTGAAAATCTTAAAATCCATATGGAACTCGTAAAATTTTGGTTTTCAAAGTCCATGGTAAAAGGTTGGGATTATTCATTTACCCCCATAAGGGTAAGCGGATTTATCGATTTGGACGCAGTAGGCTAATCTAGAAATCGAAAACTGGTCCTTAGAAGATCAGATGGTGATAGCTCTGTAGGTAACCTTTCGAGAAGCACTTTTCACCAATCGATAGAGCATGTGATGAGGCAGATAACTTATGCAGAAAGCTTTTCAAAATAGCTAACGCAAGAGCGAAAAAAAATACAGCCGTTCTACTGAGTCTCAATAATTATTTATGCAAACACACCTACTTACTCTATCGTTTTTTTGTGAGTTGTTTAGAACAACTTAATGTGCTCTTCCTAGCCATGCTACTATACTGAATTCATCAGATCATATAATCGTAGAATGTGAAGATTCCATCAGAGGCATCATTTAAGACCCAGAACTCTCACGATACTTCTCGTGATTAACTCTGCAAAATTACTCTTTAACGCGCTTAATTTCAATTACAATGATATTATCTTGGAAAGTCACATATGTTGTACCAATAGGCACACTATTGAGGATTTTCTTCTTTCACAATATTATTTTTGTGTGATGTTCTGAACATTCAAGCGCTATTCACCTACACTTTGTGTTTGTGATCACGACTAAAAAAATAAGATAAAATGCTGCAGCAGTAATGAAATATACTCTATTCCACATGATTATTTCATTACATAAATATCATGATAAAAAGTATTTACAGATGAACTTTTGCAAGAATTCATAGAAATTTAGAAAGTACAAGCGTTTGAAGTCATATGATGTGAAACTTTTCTGCGTAATAACTCAAATACACGACATAGAAAGTATTTAGTCTACATCAAAGAAATATATATGAAAAAATCGCGGCTAGAGTCTCTTAGTTTAGAAGATGCGTGTTTGATTAAGGGGTCTGTAGTTATAAAACAGTAGATTTTCATAGTTTTTCAATTTTCTCTCGACTCTCAGGAAAAATCGAAAGAGAATAGCAGGCTGGCAGATAATATATATATACGATCTCATGTCCATATGCCATGAGTTAATCATCTTGAGGGTGTTGCTGAAATAGAATAAACAATTTTGTGTGACTGTACCAATGACAACAATTTTAGCACAAAAATAAACCCTCGAAAAGGGTTTATAACCGGAAAATTCGATACATCAACGTGATCTACCCATTGATAAACCTCTTTATCTTGATCAACTTACGAAGGGTTTGTATTTCCTTGCAAACTGATATACCCTATTTTGCGTTGATCCAAAGAATGAATCTAAAAATGGTGGGTTTCTTGTAGGTGCTCAAAAACTTCATAGCTGAGGGTTTATCCGGTTGACCAACGCAAAACAAGTTTATCAAGAAAGAATCAACTCGTGGGTATATCACGTTGATATACCGATTCTTTCGGCTATAAACTCGTTTTCAGCGTTTATTGCGATGCTGAAATTCTTTTCAGTGTGTGAGAGAGAGGCCTATGATTTAGATGTACCTTGTACGTCGAATTTTAAAGCAGTTTTAGGTTGAAAATTATGGTAAAACTGTATTTGTAGATAGAATAAAAGTTAGAAGTAATGGATTCACTGCTCGATCAAGTTAACACTTTTGTTAATCGAAAGGTTCTACCACGTGTAGAATATTTTGATAAGAACAATATCTATCCAACGGAATTAATTAATATAATGAAATCAATTGGCTTATTTGGTTTGACTATACCGAAGAGGTATTCTGGTTTAGAAGCTGATATGATAACACGTGTTAAAGTGATAGAAGAATTATCTAGTGGATGGCTTAGTTTGTGTTCACTTCTGGATAGTCATTTGCGTGTTTGTGATTATATAGTTCATTTCGGAACTGATGAACAGAAAGATAACTTCCTACCATTATTAGCTAAAGGAAAACTAGTTGCTGCACACGCAAATAATGAGAAGAATATGAAAAATCTAGAACATTTAGAAACATGCTTGGTAATGGTCGATGGTTCGTTAGAAAAATGGTCATTATCAGGTAGAAAAGAGTGGATTAGTAATGCCGTACATGCCGATATATTTGCTGTATCAGCTCGCATCGTAAAACAAGACGATATCTTGAAATCTATAAGCTCATGTGTTGTACTCGTTCAAAAGGACCAAAACGGATTGAAAATTGAGAAGGACTGGCATCGTATGGGTGTGAAGGGTGTCAGTTTAGCAGCCGTTACATTTAACAAGTGTTTGATTGAATCAAAAGATATTGTTGGCCATTTTCATTATGATGGAAAAACGATTGTTGACTCATCTCAACAAAAGCTGGCATTGGTATCGTCAGCACGTTCTATTGGAATTTGCAAACGATTGATACAGACATGTGCATCATATTTGTGGCAAAGAACTCGAAATGGTATTATTGGAAGTTTAACACAGGAACCTGTCGTTTGCATGAGATTTGGAGAACTAATCACGAAGTTCCAAGCCGCTTTAGCTTTATTTAATGATTGTTGTGCGAATATTGATTCGACCGATAGAACAAAATTTATTTCGTGCAAATCTTTTGTCACAGGAATTAGTAAAGACATTGCTGTATCATGTGTTCAACTATTTGGTGCTGCTGGCTACACATCGGAGTACGGAATTGAAAGATTGACACGTGACGCTCTATCATTAACAATAATTCATTCTCCGGCAGATATTTCACTTACTCAGCTTGGACAAATGTCGTTAGAGAATTATAAACTAAAAGAGCAAAATCCGTCAAGTATCCTTTTACATTATGCTCCACAAGTTCTGGCTAATATGAAACGAGAGTTTCTACTCAGAGCAACATTAGAAGAGCAGGAAAGAATAGTCAATATCGGCAGTTATCGTGATAGTAATATCAAACTATATCTTTATGATATGACTACAATGAATCCAAGTGCATCATTCAAAGACTTTCTTGGTTGCTTAACATTTGCTCACTGTTTACAAAATGATATAAAATGTATATGCGCGCAGTCATCTGGAAATACTGCAATGTCTTTCATTCATTATGCGAGAAAAGTTTCCTCCATTAAGCTTATACAATTTTATCTGACTCGAAATTCATATAAAATAAATTCGACAGTTGTACCAGACAACGTTATATTAGTAGAAGTTAACTCCACCGAAGCCGACATGAAACTTATATTGGCACGTTTTTCAAAACTAACTGGTATACCCTGTATGCCGAATTTCAATATACAGTGTGATGCCAATAAAACAAGAGCCTATTTTATTAAAGACTATTGTGTTGAGAATAATATTAATTTTAACTGGTACGTACAATCATTATCGAGCGCTTATGGTCCAATTGGTTTATACCAAGGTTTCTCAGACATTGGACAGCAGGTAAAACCACCCAAGCTTCTTGGTATACAACAAGAAGCTGTCTGTCCATTTGCACGTGCACTTGGCTATTGGAATGATGCTACCGATGATAAACACGATAATGTTGCAGTAGTTGAACCAACACTATTTCGTAGCGATCCTGGTGAGCTGATTAACAAAGTCAAAAACATATTAGATACACATGGTGGAAAAATTAAAGTTCTGACGAACAACAAATTTCAACAGTATATAGATGAGGCTATCCATCTTTTAGAACTGCACAAGATTCATATCACAAGACTCGCAGATGGAGGTATACTCGAAAAAGCAGGACTTTTATCGCTGGCGGCAACAATGCATGAAATTGATGAACACAATTCTGGAGCTTTTTCAGCGAATGAAGCTATTCTTATCGGTATTACCGGCGGAACAGGGTGTCCAGCAACACAGAAGCCAAAACCAAAAATGGTATTAAATGGAAACCCGACTGACGAACAACTAATGCTTATATTAGAATAAATTTAACCAAACTCTATTTAGACATGATATCCTTTTCTGGTGACCTGGACAAGCTTACTAATAAGACTAATCGACAAATAAAATAGCTTGTCCTACAAAAGATTTGTACATTATGAGTGAAAGGTTATGACCTAATAATTTCCTCCTAAATCAGATTTTTCTAGATGAGAAGGATTGTAATATACTGAATGTGTGTTATTCAGTTGTGACTTACAGGACAACATATTTCGATGTCTCTTACTGAACTCAGATATAAAAAGTATTCTAATTACATCATACCGATATTGACTATCTCAAATGTCCCGTGTCGAAAAGTACGGTCTGAGTCCAAAAAGAAGACACCGAAAATCAACGGAAAGTGGAAGCAGGAATCCTTCGAACGGATTCGGTCCACTGAATCATCCAGTTCTCTCCGGAACTGGGCAAAGTCGCTCGTAGAATCAGACTAATGGATTCCTGCAGAAACTAGACGGGCCCAGGGGTCGTACTTTTTGTCCTGGGTACCAATATATAGCTGTTTTCGTTCGTGCCCAAAAGATGGCAGTATTCTATATTTTCATTCTACATTTTGCTTTGATGTTTATCGTGTCATTTTAAAGACATCTATATTTCCCAAGTAAACAGCACACAGTCCACTCTTATTGACCCGTGTGATTAAAAACCGGATGAAATCAGCATCACTTCTGTCAAAAACATAAAATTAGTATTTATTCGTGGCTTATACAACTGCTGACAAGTGGCACTTTTTTATTTTCTTCTTATCCCATGATATTTCATTCAGAAAGTACTGGAACATCGGAGCATCACACTAATTTTCAGTATATCGTCGACATAGACTTAACACGTGAGATATACATTATTATCCATAGAGCTTTCAAAAGTCGTCGAACATATTCGACTAGGAAAATGTTTTACATTATTGTTGATCTAAAATATTTTTGGGTATGTCAACGTTAGCTATGCGTCCTCTTTCCATCACCAGAATTCGGTCGCTATGAGCTATGGTATTCAAACGATGAGCAATCGTTAAAATGGTACGATCACAAAATCGCTCGCTCATTGCTGCTTGAATTAAAGCATCTGTTTGTTGATCGACATTGGCCGTGGCTTCATCGATCAATAATATTTTGCTTTTTTTTAGAATAGCCCGTGCTATACATATGAGTTGACATTCACCGACACTAAAATTACTGCCGTATTCGGCGACCGATAAGTAAAGGCCGTCAGAGTGATTGCAGACACGGTGCTTGAGCTGCACAGCGTCCAGTGCATCGAAGCATTGCTGATCTGTATAGATTCCCGATGGGTCAAGATTATAACGAAGTGTACCACTGAATAGAACGGGTATTTGAGGAATAATACTAAGATGTGAACGAAGACGATCGAGTTTGACACGACTTATATCAATACCATCAATAAGAATTTCGCCTTTAACGGCTGATCGCATCACAAATCGAAAGATACCTTGAAATACAGACGACTTTCCAGCGCCTGTAATTACGCAGTAAACAGACAAAATACATAGGTACAACATATCCAATGCAGGTCAAAATGAGTTATCTTACCTGTTCGACCTATGATGCCGATTTTCTCATTACGCTCAATAATCAGATTAAGGTTATTAAGTACAGGTTCCAATTCAGGTCGATAGCGTAAAGTATAATTTCGAAACTCAATACTACCACAACTAGGCCAATCTGAGGGTGGCTGTATAAGTCCTTCGCCGCCACCATTATCTTCTTCTGGTGGTAATCTAGTATATTCATCAATACGTTCAGCACTTATCATTAGATTTTCAGCTTCAGATAACTGCCGCATACTATACTGAAGTCGACCTACTAAGTTAAGACTACACGTCAAACTGAGTGCTACCATTGACGCATCCATTTTATGGCCTGCGATAACGGAGAGTGTAGCTACTATCAATACAAAGGTGGCGGCAATGAAGTCGAGTCTTAAACCAAACCAATGGATTCCACCCAACAAAGGAATATAAGCACGTGTATTAGCGTCAATCCGACTGACAAATGTTTGCAGAAAATTATCTTTCACTTTGAATGCACGAATAGTCGATAGACCATTCAGTGACGATGAAAAGAGAGCCAAAACAGGACTGCGTGTTGCATTCTCAAGCCGTTTGAATTGATGATTTGGACGTGCATAATAATGGCGCAAATATCCACAAATAGGTATAACTATAATCAGTAAAATGATGGTAAGAGGATTGACCAAAATAATAATAGTTAGAGAACCAGCTAGTATTAAAGATGCTTGTACCATCTCGAACAGGGCCATTGGTAATAGTTCATCAATAAGATATTGATCTCGACTTGCTCGATGGAGAATACGTCCAGTCGAATTGCTCTCAAAAAACCTCGTAGACGTGTATAATATACTATGTAGCATACGATTATGAAGTCTACTTGAGCCACAGAGCATAATGTAAAACCAATAATCAGCACGTAGAATTCCTATAATTATTGTACCGGTGGCCAAGCCGAAATAAATATAGGCATATGATAATACATGTTGTTGTACAATATATGATTTCCGCGACCAAATAGCAAGCCAATAAGTAGAAGTATCATACAAAATTTCGCCACTCAAAAGGCTAACGATAAGCAAAATGAAACCAAACCAACCCAAGGGTGATGCAGTAAATAAACGGCACCACACCGACCAACTGGCACCAGCGGTAATCGATATTTCATCATGCAATATTGATTTAGTATCCGAAATCGATTTACTCAGATCCAATTCTGCTGAGGTAATTTCTTCCATCTCGTCAGCCTGTTCCTCTGTTTTCGTATTAGTGGTTGGCCGGAACATATGCTCATACTCGATCGATAAATGAGTGAATGCTCCCGTTTTCTTAATACGACCATTATCTAATAAAAAGCATTGATCGGATGAAACTAAAAAGTGTGTTTGATGGGTAACCAATACACGTGTCTTGTCTTTCAATATTCCTTCAGGGCCGATACAGGTGTCAAATATTCGTTTTGCAACTTTTGAATCAACAGGCGATAGTGGATCATCGAGAAGATAAATATCGGCATTGACATACAGTGCACGCGCCAGTGACACTCGTGCCTTTTGTCCACCACTCAGATTGATACCTTTGTCGCCAATAATCGTTAAATCTCCAGCTGTTCCAAATGCTTTTAAATCAACATCGAGACAGCATGCATGTAAAACACGTTCATAACGTTCCTGATCGAACTTTTTTCCAAGTAGAATGTTAGCACGAATGGTGTCGGCAAATATCCAAGCAGACTGAAGAGCATATGATAAACGCCCATTTACTTGTATATTACCACTGATTAAATTCATTTCGCCAAGTATGGCAGCGAGTAATGATGATTTGCCAGAGCCCACAGATCCGAAAACACCCACAAGTTGCCCGGGTTTAATATCTATACTAAGTGATGATAGACTAGTATTGTTGTCTCCCCATGTAAATGATGCGTCTTGCATTACAATTGCGCCCGATTTGCTGCCTCTTCTTGTGTCATTTGATTCTAGTAGTTGCCTCTTTGATGACTGTATCGTTTTCAAACGCATAAACTCATCGATTCGCTTGGATGCAATGAGCATTGAGCTTAACCGTTCTATAGCAATAGGCATGAGATTGGTAAATGTTAATCGTATTTGGCCGAAAAAAGCAAGAGCAGTGAAAACATCTGCTGGCGTCAGTTGAAAACCCAAAGACCACAAACCTCCAAACGCAACTAACGCAATCATACACGGCGAAATAAAAAATACGGCTTTGTTAAATGCACGCAAATGACTTGCATGTTGAATGCTCTCCATTTCGTCTTCACGCAGTTTATATACGCGCTCTTTCATGGGCTTTTCCCAACTGTACATTTTTACAGTCTGACACGCATCGAGAAGTTCACTGTATGTTTTAATACGTTTATCCGTACAAACAATTGTTTTTTTGCGATATTGCGTAAAATACTTACTGAATACTAATTGTAGAGGTACGAGGAAAAGCAGAACAATGAAAGCAAAACATGTTGGTAGTAAACCAATGATCCAAGATAGAAGACCAAATCCAACAATTGCTTCCAACGGTGCTGCCCATAAAAAATGACCATAAAACCAAAACTCTTCGAATTTACTCGCATCATTTGCTATCAAATTGATGGTTTGCGCTGCAGAAATTTGTTGAAGTGATGACATACTAATCGATAGTAAGTGTTGGTATATGGTGGACGAAAGTGCGTTACGAATACGGATACCTAATTTAGTAGAGAGAAATAGAGCATGTTGATACAACAAAGCTTGTAGAATCGACGATAAAAAAAATCCGATAGCTAATAAAATACCGGCGTTCATATGAACCGAAATATGCTCTTTCTGACTAATGTGGTCCACAATAGCGCGTATAAATAATGGTTGTGCTAGACGAGCAGCAGTATGAGGCAGGAGAATAAGACCTATGAAAAAAGTCTCTTTTGCGAAGGCGCGTAAGATAATACGCCACGTCGTTGCTATAGACCAATCATAAATAAGCAATTTTTTAAACAACACAGAACATCGATCATCATGAGGTAAATCATCAAGATCGTCATCTGTGAGCGTCTGTTTTTGTCCTAAACTAAGAAGAGGATTGAGCCACCACCAGAACAGTACGTGTATCCACCGAAAACATGATGATTGTGCCCATTCCAGACGGGACGGTCTTGGATTCGTGTGAAATCTATTCAGATCAGTATCTGACAACGAAGGCGGCCTCGTTCTCCAAGCATAGCTATCGTTTTTATTATCGTTGCTGCCATATGAACTAGAATTTCCACGAAGCAAAGCTTCTTTGTCATTATGCATTTGGTCTTGAGCCATGGCTATATATTGTTATCTCAATATTGATATGAAACGAAACAGCACCAACTAGCACTTGTTATACTATAAAAGAAGGTTGCAGAACAATAAACCCTTTTTACGGAATTATTAGCCTTATACCTTATAGGGAGAGTATCTTATGCGCTGTGCTTTCATATACCCTTAAAAGATTTCTTAACTTCATAAACCCTCGAAAATCACTTCTCTTTCCTTTGGTTCTTCTAAAGGATACATTAGCAAACCTTGTAAGGGCTTATGAGATGGTAAATCACGTTCATACACGAGCATTTCCACACAGGAAAAAAATAAAGGTACTCTACCAAACCCATCAAAAAGGTTTCGTAAGTGTCGAAAGCTTGCAAATGTGTCGACATGTTCAAAAAAATGCTTTTCAAAAATCTACGAAACCAAAAAAGGATCGGTCAGCGGGCACACGTTCCGAACCCTCATCACGGAGCCTTTTAAGGTTTCATCACAAAATGCGAAACCTTCTTAGATTCGTATAAAACCATAGTGCGAAAACTTAAGGTTCCGTATTTTCTGACGAACCTTTATTGGGTGCGTGCGAAACTTAAAAAGATTCCGTGATGAGGGCTCGTAGCGTGTGCCTGCCGACCGATCTTTTTTTGGTTTGGCAGATTTTGAAAAGCATTTTTTTGAACATGTCGACACATTTGCAAGCTTTCGACACTTACGAAACCTTTTTGATGGGTTTGGTAGAGTACCTTATTTTTTTTCCGCGCATGCGATTTCTTCCACAAAAACANCTCTGTAGGCAACCTTTCGAGTAGCGCTTTTCACCAATCGATAGAGCTTGTGATGAAGCAGATAAATTATGCAGAAAGCTTTTCGAAATAGCTAAAAGTGAAAAATTTATAGCCATTCTACCGAGTCTCAATAATTATTTATGCAAACACACCTACTTACTCCATCCTTTTTCGTGTGAGTTGTTTAGGGCAACTTGATGTGCTCTCCCTAACCATGCTACTAGGCTGAATTCCTCAGATCATGTAATCGTAGAATGTGAGGATTTCGTCAGAGGTATCATTTAAGACCCGGAATTCTCATGATACTTCTCGTGATTAACTCTGTAAAATTACTCTTTAACGGGCTTAATTTCAATTACAATGATATTATCTTGAAAAGTCACATATGTAGACATGTCGCAATACCAATACTCTTGGGAATTGGGTATTGATATTGGGCAGGTGTTGACGGTATTGAAGGTATTGGTATTGATTAGTATTGATCAATACTTTGCCAATTTCTACAACCATTTTCAATTATGTCGAGTGCCGTGGATAGCGTCGCTCCATATATGATCAATACTATATGTGGCACTTGGTAAAATTGAGAATGAATGTAGAAATTGACAAGGTATTGATCAATACTAATCAATACCAATGCCTTCAATGCCATCAATACCTCCTCAAAACCAAGACTCAATACCAATTTTCAATACCGAGTATTGGTATTGCGACATGCCTACACATATGTTGTACCAATAGGTACGCTATTGAAGATTTTCTTCTTTTACAATATTATTTTTGTGTGATGCTCTGAACATTCAAGCGCTATTCACCTACAGTTTGTCTTTGTGATCACGACTAAAAAATAAGATAAAATGCTGCAGCAGTAACGAAATATACTCTATTCCACATGATTATTTCATTACATAAATATCATGATAAAAGTATTTACAGATGAACTTTTGCAAGAACTCCTAGACATTTAGAAAGTACAAGCGTTTGAAGCCATATGATGTGAAACTTTTCTGCGTAATAACTCAAATACATGACATAGAAAGTATTTAGTCTACATCAAAGAAATATATATGAAAAAATCGCGGCTAGAGTCTCTTAGTTTAGAAGATGCGTGTTTGATTAAGGGGTCTGTAGTTATAAAACAGTAGATTTTCATAGTTTTTCAATTTTCTCTCGACTCTCAGGAAAAATCGAAAGAGAATAGCAGGCTGGCAGATNGAATGAAGCTATTCTTATCGGTATTACCGGCGGAACAGGGTGTCCAGCAACACAGAAGCCAAAACCAAAAATGGTATTAAATGGAAACCCGACTGACGAGCAACTAATGCTTATATTAGAATAAATTTAACCAAACTCTATTTAGATATGATATCATTTTCTAGTGACATGGACAAGCTTACTAATAAGACTGATCGACAAATAAAATAGCTTGTCCTACAGAAGATTTGTACGTTATGAGTAAAAGGTTATGACCTGATAATTTCCTCATAAGTAAGATTTTTCTAGATTAGAAGGATTGTAATATACTGAATGTGTGTTATTCAATTGTGACTTACAGGACAACATATTTCGATGTCTCTTACTGAACTCATATATAAAATGTATTCTAATTACATCGTACCGATATTGACTATGTCAAATATCCCATGTCGAAAAGTACGGGTTGAGTCTGAAAGGAAGACACCGGAAATCAACGGAAAGTGGAAGTAAGAATTCCTCGAACGGATTCGGTCCACGGAATCATCCAGTTCTCTCCGGAACTGGGGAAAATCGCTCGTAGAATCCGACTAAAGGATCCCTGCAGAAACTGGCCCCGTTCAGGGGTCGTACTTTTTGTCCTGGATACCAGTATATAGCTGCTTTCGTTCGTGCCCAAAAGATGGCAGTATTCTATATTTTCATTCTACATTTTGCTTTGATGTTTATCATGTCATTTTATAGACATCTATATTTTCCAAGTAAACAGTACACAGTCCACTCTTATCGACCCGTGTGATTAAAAACCGGATGAAATCATCATCACTTCTGTCGCAGACATAAAACTAGTATTTATTCGTGGCTTATACAACTGCTGACAAGTGGCACTTTTTAATTTTCTTCTTATTCCATGATATTTCGTTCAGAAAGTATTGGAACGCCGGAGCATCACACTAATTTTCAGTATATCGTCGACAGAGACTTAACACGTGAGATATATTACATTATTATCCATAGAGCTTTCAAAAGTCATCAAACATATTCGACTAGGAAAATGTTTTACATTATTGTTGATCTAAAATATTTTTGGGTATGTCAAAGTTAGCTATGCGTCCTCTTTCCATCACCAGAATTCGATCGCTATGAGCTATGGTATTCAAACGATGAGCAATTGTTAAAATAGTACGATCACAAAATCGCTCGCTCATTGCTGCTTGAATTAAAGCATCTGTTTGTTGATCGACATTGGCCGTGGCTTCATCGATTAATAATATTTTGCTTTTTTTAAGAATAGCTCGTGCTATACATATGAGTTGACATTCACCGACACTAAAATTACTGCCGTATTCGGCGACCGATAAGTAAAGGCCGTCAGGGTGATTGCAGACACGATGCTTGAGCTGCACAGCGTCCAGTGCATCGAAACATTGCTGATCTGTATAGATTCCCGATGGGTCAAGATTATAACGCAGTGTACCACTGAATAGAACGGGNACCAGCCTGAGAGTGATGATTTTAAAGTGAGCTTACTTCTTAAGTATCCTATTCTAAGCCACAATCTGGTTTTCCAAATGCAAACATGTGAGTTCTACATTTTATCCACAAAAGGGCTGCGTCGACAAGCTTTTTTGTTAAAAGCCGCTTTATTCGTTTTAAATAAAACGACAATTTTTATTTGTCTTCGAAACTACTGATTTTCCTTTAAAAAAGAAGCTGAAAAGGGGAAAAGGAGAAAAAAGAGGCGGAGTGGGAAGCCAGGGAGACACGTGTGTTTTGTGGGGAAATTACATGAAAATGTCCAAGCCTGAAAAGGATTCATGTCGCGACTATCAGTTCCTTTCGTGGGTTAATGATTCGACGCTTCCTTCCACGGTGTAGTATTGCATTTGCACGTTAATACTTATGTGCAAGCACAAGTAACTTACCCAGACCGACAAGCCTTATTTTGTGTCGTTTTCACGTCGTAAATACCGCACATTTTCATTAGTAATAATGCGCTAAAATGTGAATTTTAATGTTGGCAAAAGGCCTACATTTGAGAAAAAACGCTTCCACTGCTATTCGAATATTGAAAGTAGGTTCTTTTCTACACATATTATACGATATTTTAACGTGTTCTTACGAATGAAAATGTGCGGTTTCGCATGCGTAAAAACTCAATTTTTCACTGATTTTGTTTGTTTGAGTAATAAATGAGGCGTACCAATGAACATCGACAATGACACAGGACGATAAGAATCAAGGAAAACTATCGTTTTTTAAGTGGCGAAACATGCGCCGGAAAGGTACCGTTTCACACTTCTGATCTATACCATGAAAAAATTCTCAATTACCACCTTCATATACATTAACCCTTAGAAACCGAAGTAACTGTTCCGAGGGACACTGTATTAGTTGGAATATGACAAGTAATACAGTTCTATCTAAGAAACTTACAAGAGAAGATCACTCACTTCAAAATCACTTTCGAGTTATAATTTCGCACACTGTAGGTAATCGATCATGATGAATCGGAAAATTATGGTTTCACGACTAGTGCTTCCCCAAACACCAAGTTTGCTGAAAACTCGACTTTCAGAAAGCAAAAAATGTTCCAAGTGTTCTTTTTCCTCAGCTCAGGCGAAGGAGTACATCGAGCTCTCTAAAAATCATCATAGGTTCCTTTCTTCCAACAGTGCACTAGAACAAAATAAGGCTAACTTTTGAGTTTCTATATCAAAATGCTATGCTTTGCATCCATTATATGAATATCAATAAACATTTATCTAAGAAAGGGGCTATACGAGATACAAACCAATTTTGTTTCATGGAAAATTTCTCGTTGATACGGAAATTCTAGTTTATTTAGTTGTTTCATTCCTGATGTACAAAATTTTTTTTCATCGTTTAAGAACAAGAATTCTTTAGCTTTAAGAGACAATCCATGAAATCACCAATCAACGTCTTTGCCGATAAATTTGATTTTGCAAAATAAACAAGCCAGTTCGATAGGCCATAAACAGTTACCCTGAAACCCAAAGTTTGATTGTTTTTGGGCAAACCCTTCGAGAGTTACCCTGAACTACTTTTTCAATCATCAGATGGAACCTGTCATAAGATGCCATTTTTGAGTAAGTTTTTGTCTACGGATTATTTCAACACAAAAGCTTGATCAAAATCATCATCAACTTACACCAATCGATAGAGCGAAGCTTGCTCTTCGAAACCCACATATCGGATGACCCTCATTGCGCACTTTCTATAGTAAAAAATTCACAATACGGGTGGAAACAACCGCTTTTTGGGGACAGATTTTCACTGTTGTCTCTCACTTGATCAGTGTGAAGCTAGCTCGAAGGAGCTAACACGAACAAACGATGTGTCAGCTAATAAATTTTTTACTAAGTATCTCCCGTCCTTGAAAATTATACCATTCTACTCAGAATTTAATTCTGCACCGAATGGTGGTACTTTTATTCATAGGACAAACTTTGGAAAAATTCTATTTGGATCATAAATAGATCTACAGGAAGCAAACAAAGATGTAAGTGAAAATTTTTCCAAAGTTTGTCCTATGAATAAAAGTACCACCATTCGGTGCAGAATTAAATTCTGAGTAGAATGGTATAATTTTCAGGGACGGGAGATACTTATTACTTAGTAAAAAATTTATTAGCTAACACATCGTTTGTTCGTGTTAGCTCCACACTGGTACAGAGACGTACTAAAAAATGGCACCTTATGACAGGTTCCATCTGATGATTGAAAAAGTAGTCCAGGGCAACTCTCGAAGGGTATGACCAAAGACAGTCAAACTTTGGGTTTCAGGGTAACTGTTTATGGTCTGTCGAACTGGCTTGTTTATTTTGCAAAATAAAATTTATCGGCAAAGACGTTGATTGGTGATTTCATGGGCTGTTTTTCAGGCCTGAGTTTTCTCATTGGCAGGAGAAGAAGTGCCACCTAGAGTGGCTAGCCATTCAGCTTATTGTTAATTTTTATCATCTATGGACAGTTAGTAGATCTATTTCTATTAAATAGACACGTCACCGTCCAAGTTTATCACGTCGAAATCCAATTACTGATATAGTATATAGAGACCCAAGAATGTTCTCACTAGTTTCGGATATAAGAATCAAGGGTGTCCACATATTATAGCATGAAGTCCTCGTAAGCTTAAGTTTTCTAGCATGATTTAATACATGATTTACACTGACTTTCAACAACACTATGGACGTTATTTTCCTGTTTATAAAATGTTTTCGGGAAAATGTTTTTCTGGCCTTTGACTCTGCTATAAACAAACTTTTTTTATATGACTCTCCTTAAAGTCGAGGGAATAAATATATTTTAAAACTAAGTTTTGCATGATACTCCTTTCATCTTCTGTCAAGGAGTAATGCAAAGTCGTATAAACCATGATTTACAATGATTTGTCTATCAATTTAATTAACATGGCGAGTAACCAAGACAGTCTGAAACAAGTAACGCTCATTCTATGGATTCGCCGACCCTTTTCTGAAAGAATTTTTCTACTGCTGAACATATTCAGATACATGGAAAAACAAATAGGGCGCTGCAGCTATTACTGAATCTCAGCTAGACCATGGCATTGTGCCCCACACAAGAATTAATGCAAGACAAAGATTCTTCGTTTTTCATGAACCGAACTAATTACATCTTTGCCAGGGAATAGCTTTCAAGTACTAGCTATGTTTACTTAAAACTCCATCATTTAATGGTTAGTCATTCGTAGGCATCCTCCCCCGGCCAGTCACTCACGGCTACACATTAATCTTTATACTCTGTTTTTCTACTTTCACATTATACACACAAGTAAATCTTGTTTCATCAAGCTGTAATGGTGAACTCTAACACGACAGCCACTGTACAAACGCAACACGGTACAAATCACGAGCAAATAATTAAAAACCGAGTTTTCAATCTTAATCATGATACCTATCGGTTTTCAAAATAGTCTAAAGGGCTTTATGACCATAAGAATATAATGTGGTTAGTTCCAAGATTATTCTCAATTCCCTTCGATCGTTGCAGTTCAGTAAAAAGCCACTATATGTGTAACAGTGAATCAAACATCAGTTCTCCAACTAAACAACATTCAGCCAATAATTTCACAGTTCCCTAATATCTTTTTCTATCTACCAGTGCTGCTATATCCTACAACTAAGTTGTTCACTTATTCCATAAAAAAAACTGACCACGGGTTCATGTTCCTCGACCTCAATTGCGTATGGTCAATCATTTTTGTATGACCTTCGTGAAGATTTCTTTGAGTTTTTTAATGTTGCAGTCTGATTGGCTTGGACAGACAAACTTTAAGCATTTTAGTCCAGCAGTGAAACGCTGTATAACCCTTTGTTTCAGAAAAGGGAATAATTACACGTCTACCACTGGATTTCAGATTCTTCAAAATTGATAAAAATCGAATGAAATAATGTAACGAAAAAAGACAATGTTTACTGCTTAAAATAAAGATGACGATCATCAAGTAGAAAAGCATACAAATCATCAAAAATATCCGACTGCATGGTGAATATTCGTTTTGAAAAATATCCAGGCTTCTGGCTGCAATAAAAGCATAGCACAAACGCATATAGGTGTGAGGCAGTTATAATATATGAAAAGGTACCATATGGCCTTCACTCTAATGGATAAATAATGCTTTTAGTTATTTGACAAAAAAATTATCGTTTACTCGCTACGGAATTAACAGATGTTGAAGTAAAGATTGACAATCTCTCAGTTTTTAATTCAGCAAATGTTTATCATTTAATCAACTCTAGAAAATACTCTTTTTGTTATCAAATAACTGATTCATTTTTCATATAATATATACATACATCACCCATTTTATTCTATATTCTTGAGGGGATTTTCTACGAATCAATCGGCCAATCGAATTGGAAATGGCATTTAATCAAATAAATCGTGTTCGGCAAGCCTTTCTTCAGCTAAATCTTTTTAAAAAACCTTCAAGCACTGAACAAACGCTTTTCGGAGAACAAATTGCAACTCGTATCTACATTTGTGCATTAGCTGTTTCCTTGATTTCCATTACAATTATTACTGCTTTGATGATTCGAACGATTGAAAAAACAGAATCGAAGCCTACTTATATACGATTTCTTCAACTAGCAAGTCGACATCCAGATACTTTGAATTGTCCTTGTTCGAAGTATGCAATTAGTTATCAAACATTTGTATCAACTCGAGTTCAATTTCATCAAGTTTGTTCAAGTCAATTTGTTGAACAATTATGGTTTGATATGATATTCACAAATGAATATATTTCTATTGAATCAGCAGATGATTTCCGTGTTACTTTGAGTTTCTTTTGGCAAACTATTGCGGGTTTATGTAATGCAAGTCGAAATGCTTGGAATGATGCTGTGTCAAGTTTTAACTCATCACGTCTTCTTAGTCGAAGTACATTCAATGAAGAAACCGTTCGAATTCAAGTTGAAACAACATTTAAAAATCTCATTCGGATATCTCAAACAACAATGACTCGAAATTTGCTTGCAATTCGACGAACGACAAGTGGTAATAAAATTGTCTCAGGTTTGCAAACCAATTTTTATTTTTATCTTCGCTCATCTGGATCTATTCAAGCTGCACCTCGAATATTTAATGATGATTGTTCGTGTTTAAATATTGAAGGCTGTCCGCGTCCTGCTACATTTAATGATAGTGATGGCAATCTAATTACAATACCAGGAATGATCACGGACTGCTTAGTGGTTGACGCCACACTTGCTTCAACGCTTGAATGTTATTACAATCAAACATGTGTTGCTCTTTTACATCCATCATTACCACGAAATATTCAACCGTTATCAAATAATTCATTCAAACATTCCTCGTCGAATTCGACAATCCAAACACTTTTAAATGAATTAATGATTGAAGAAAGGATTAGTAATGTTCATTTCAATTTATACTATTCTGAATGTAATCCTCAATATTGTTCGTATTCATACACACGTCGATGGCACATGAGTTTTATTTTTACTACAATAATCGGAATCTTTGGCGGTTTGTCATTTGGAATCCGGCTTCTTGCTCCTTTTGTTGCAAAAATTGTACTTCGAAGACGAAATCGTGTGTTACCCACAACAAATGTTTCACAGACTTCAACATCACGACCACATCAATGTAAGTTATACTCAATATTTTTCTTCTTACTTTTCTGCGCAACACATTCACCAAAGTAGAAAATATGAAAACAAATTGCCATTGTGACACGATGAATCTTGAGAAAGCGACTGTGCTACTTCTCAAAACTGTATATCACATTCTATTATAACCTTTCTCGGATTTTATTTGTAGTTCATATCATATGGGCTCATATTCGAGGGCTACCACAACAGATTCGGCAGAAATTGGTCTCTTTAAATATTTTTGAAACTTCAACACCACGTACTTTAAACAATATTCATCAAGAACGATTATATACGAGGATATTTATTATTCTTCTTATTATCTCTTCTATATCTACTGGCCTCTATCTGTTTTTTGATGAACAAAATCATTTAATAACAATTTCGCATCCATCTCTTGCCACCTATGAACAATTGTATAATGATCGTTCAACAAAATTACAATGTCCTTGCTCACAAATATCTATTCCATATAAAGAGTTTCTCAATGTAACATTTATTTTACATCAAGTATGTTCAAGTGATTTAGTTTCATCTGAATGGTTAAAATATCTGACGTTGTTAAATCCAACAGTTCTACCAGATACAGAACTTGGCCTCGATGACACACGTGATTTTCGAACAATAGGTGCTTCTTATTTTCAAATCTTATTTACTTTTTGTTCAATGGTTGAGGCAAATATCGCTGATGCTCAACGTGTATTCGGTGATACTCAATTCATCAACGATCGTGTTCTTTCTCGATCAATTTTTCTTCAAAAGACTCAAACGATAATAGATTCATTTATTAATACAACATGTAATAATTTTGCAAGTACAGTTGATTGGATTGATATCGCATTCAAAACGAGTCTATTTTGGAATGGAGCAAATGTCATTTTTGATATTCGTGCAACTACTGATAATCAGCTTAATATTACATTCCCTACTTATACATTGTATTCTACTTTTTCTGAAACTGAACTAATTGCTTTCGGTACATGTTCATGTGTGATCATCGATGAAGGATGTTACCTTTTACCTCTATTGTATTCAAATGCGTCATATTTAGATCAATTTCCATCAACTTTATTTATCGAAGTAATAAAAATTGGTTGCACACCTGTACTTGGATTTCAAATTTCAAAGATTCAATGGTGGTATGATGCGATATATTTTGAACAAATTCGACAAACTTATTCCTTCGTTATTAATTCTCAATCTTCGCCAAATATCAAACCTCTCAATACATCTATTTTCAGTCGATTTGGAGATGTAACAGCAGATGATTTAATTCGTGAAATGTTCTTAGAAACAGCAATAGGCAATAATACTAGTTTTGATAAATTTTATACTGAATGTGCACCGGTATCCTGTACATATTCAAACATACAGCGTCGAAATCTTTTTGCATCATTCCTTCTTCTTATTGCTGTATGTAATGGCTTGAACAAAATCCTTCGATTGCTTATACCATTATTTGGCAAACTTTTTCTCTCTTGTATTGATTTGTGGAAAGGAGGTCATCGTCGACATGGTAAGCATCACATATACAAGATTTTAAAAGTTTATCCATCAGAAAAATTGTTCATCACTCTGTCTTTCATTTCTATAGCCATTTCAACATGTGATTGTGTGAAACATCTTCTCATCAGAACTTATCAATCAATTAAAGGTTTGAATTTATTTACAATCGAACCAACTGATAACAGATCAATTCATCAACAACTTGTTTACACTCGAATTTATTTAGTTATATACTTAACCTCTCTTAGTATATTACTATTCTATACAGCTATTGTTGAACGTAGTATAACTAAAACATATTCTGTATCTTCAATTATGGATTACAAACAATTATTAACAGATCTTCAAACAGATGATGTTAATTGTCCTTGTACACGTATCTCAATTCCATATGGTGACTTTGTGAGTGAACTACGAGTGAATAGATTTCATGAAGTATGTGAAACAAATACAATTTACAAGATTCTTAGTTATGGTAAATAATCTATTATGATTACGGTAACTTGAAAAATCTACATTCGTTGTCGTTTTAGGATTGCCAGCTGCAGCCATTCCTGAGTTCACTAATGGAAGAAATTTTGAGTTGTGGCAACAATTCTTTGTCGAATCTTTAAAATTACTTTGTTCATTGGCAGTGGATATTGTAGATAATAGTATTAGAATATTTCTCACTTCAACCATGCTGACTAATCAATTACAATCCTTAACAGAATTTAATAACGAAGTCAATTATACTATAGATCAATTTCAACAGAGAACACCGATTATTTTTGCTCAAACATTGGATCTCATTCGTTTGAATGCTCAAGGAAACACTCTGTCAGCAGCGTTTTCATCCAATTGGGATCTAATGAAGGCTGGAGAAGACATAGAATCAAATAATTCATTTATCACTATACCCATAATCCATCACGACATAGAACAAAACACAAGTTGTTCTTGTTCCACTTTACGAACATGTAAAATACCGGCAGAAATTACTAAACTTGCTAATTTAACTCTTATTGTCGAAGGTTTAGTATTTGGTTGTCATTTATTAGAAACAGTTCTACTTTCGACATTGTCATGTTTCTATTCTCCAACATGTATTCACAATGTTCGAGAAGCATTAGGTGCAGTATCTGCTGGCTTCAATACAAGTACTCATTTACACAATTCATCAACACGATTCAATGTCAATGATACTATTGAAACAATGGCTTATCAAATGTTTATTGAATCATGGACAAATACGACATCTTATGAAAGATTTTATAATAGTTGTTCTCCAAATTATTGTACTTATATATATCGTTATCGATTTGATGCACTTGAAATGTTAACAACATTTCTGGGCGTATTTCCCGGTTTATCAAGTGCAATTCGTTTCACCGTTCCTTATCTTGTACGAATATTTCAAAAGATTTAAGGGTACCGTTAAGAAAAGTATTGCATGACAATTAGTTACATTCATAGGATTTATGCGAACGAAGCTAAATAGAAAAATATTTTTGTTTGTATGTACGTACGCACATTTTCGTTTAAAAAAGGAAAGATTAATTAATTATTTTCGTTTATGTAATAATTTAATCGTCAGGTAATATTGATGAAGTTTACAAAAAGATTGAAGAAAGCGAAAAAGGCTAATGTGCTATTTGAGCCTATCGATACATTTACGATGACAAATATTTGTTTACACATATAACAAACATAATAATTGAACGCTCTGCATGCATGTTTTGTTCTTGAATTTATCAAGAGCAGAGCAAAATACAGAAACTATTAATATAGTTCGTTTTTTGTAGAAATATTTTATCGATGTGGAAATTAAGATGGACTAGAATAGAAAATCGATGACATTATGATTATCTCTTAATGTATTAAGCTATGCAAAAAAAAGCTCATTAACTCGTACTTTGCAAGGTGAGTGAATTTACCTATCGTGCACACATACACACCCTCAAAGACGTGTTGGTGTGTGTTGCACAAGAATATCGTCCTGTGAGTTTTATCCTTATCCATGCAATCTCGAATATTTATTAATAAAATTAAAGAAAACAGAGAAACTTAGCCTGACTAAGCGTCACTTCTTTTTCAGTTCCAAAATGACTGGTACATGATCTGATGATATATTCACGGTTGATGTTCGATAAGTCTTCACTTCAAACATTTCTGCCGCTTTCTCATTCATAAAGATGTAATCAATTGTCATTACAGGATTATCAGCTGGATATGTTTTTGGGCATTGGTCACGCGGTAATTGGAAGCCTCCTTCTGTCAGAAGAAACTGAACTGTCTGACTATTTGGTTCGTCGTTGAAATCACCAGCCAGAATGAATGGTTGATTTTGAAAGTGATTTTTTCGATAGAACTCAATCGCATCTTTCACTTGTTTTTCTCGAAGACTCACCACTTCATGTTCAAGATGTATAACAGCGAAGAACACTTGTTGATTAGCATCTATCTTCACGGAAACAACCCCCATCGATCGTGTTTCACCTTGACCACGTCCATCGAGCTGTACCAGAGCAACCGTGTCGAAAGGACGCTGTGATAGAATAGCATTTCCATACTGTCCTCCGTCGAAGTTCATCGAAGGAATGTAAAATACATGAGGAAACTGTGCGTAACAGGCAAGTTCTGATGACTGATCGATTTCGGTACCTGATCGACGTGTAAATCTATCAACTTCTTGCAGAGCGACCAAGTCTGGTTGCTCGTGCATAATCGTGCGTGCTACACTCACGCTGCCACGAAATAGTTCACGACAAGCAGCAATGTTGAACGACATTATCTTCAGATTCATGACTGTGACCAATTGAATTACATCTGCAATCACAAAATGACTATTTGTATATATCGACCAGTCTGTATCATTCACATAAGTATGTTGTTTTACATTAACTTCTTAAAGCAAGCTGACATTAATGGTATTGTCGAGTAAACGTCGTTAATTTTTTTCTCATCTAGATTCGGTATTAGTAAAAGAAAACTACTTACCCACAGTTGATACCGAAAGAAAAATTTTGAAGAATGATTCGACTTCAAACGATGTAAATTGCAGTCGTATAGTATTTCTTTTCAATGTGTGTTCGTATTCAGTTATGTTGAGTAAAAATAATAGAACGCGCAAGAAAAAAAACACATGACGTCATCGGATGACTATTTATAATAATATACTAAAGATTTTTTCGTTTCTTGACGAAGCATTGGCATGAGAATGTGCTGTTAATATTGTCCACTTGTGGGAACAGAAAATTCCATGCACTGCATTTCCCGTCATTTCAGAGTCAATCACTTTCTTACTAAAGAATAATAAAAGAGTGTTGACAATTTCATCGTTGCTTTATGCCTATTTGTTGCCTTCAAAAACTTTCGAATGCCATTCGTTTAGATAGATCATGTTGGGAGGATTCTGTTGTAAAGTTTTCTGATTTATTCAAAAATAAGATTTTTCAATTTGAATCTATTTTTTTAACTTGTACAAAACAAAATACACTCTTCGTTGTTTTTTCTCGATTAATACACTTCAGTACTTTCATTCTATTGTTTCACATAAACGATCATAGATCATATCACCCCACTCTAGGTATGCTCCAGCGAAGAATAGTAGAGTATACTGTACAAAGCATTCATTCAATCCTTTTAGTCATCTATGAGATAAACTATCTCATAGTGCTTATATACGCATATTGTATACCTGGCGCCCAATCGGACCCCATAATATAACATTGGTTTTCTCTTAATATTCGAATATAAATTTTTCATTCTCATACTTTACGCATCTGTCCGCCTCTATGAGAGTATTTTAGACCTATATAGTAAGGTGTAAAGTATAAGAATGAAAAATTTATATTCGANTCGTATAACCCTTCAGCTGTGATAAATGCTGTCTTGTGCTTGTCTTCTTCCTTGATTGGGATTTGCCAAAATCCACTCTTCATATCTAATTTGGAGAAGAATTTGTATCCACCGCCTAATCGTCTTATTGTTTGTTCCATGTTCGGTAACGGATGGTTGTCTTTGATTGTCATGTTGTTCAATTTCTTGTAATCAACCACCATTCGCCATGATCCATCGTGTTTTGCGACCAGTAATGCTGGTGCTGCAAATGGAGAATATGACTTGCGAATGAGACCATGTTGTAGAAGATCTTGAACGATGTTGTACATTTCTTCTTCTTTTTGTGGCGTTGAATAGTACGGTCTCGACGTCGGTGGAGGATAATCAAGTGTCTTGATTTCATGTGGTTTGACATTAACAGCAATCGCAGGTTTGCTTGTGTCGAAGAGTTTCTCATGGTGGTGAAGAATATTCGTAATTTCATCTGCTTGTTTCGGATCTACGACGTGTCGAGTCAACTTTGTAATATATCCGTTGACTAATTCCTGATCGATCGATAGACATTTGTTGAAAGATAATGTTGGTACTGTGGTCGTTCCTATTACGATGCCCTCTGGTATTGTGTACGAATATTTAGTCGGGTTGTAAAGCGAAATGTGGGACTTTTGGTAATTCACCACGACCATGTTGTTTAACAATATCATTGGTGATTGTCGCGCCAATCGAAAGGATGGCCGAAATGGAACTTTGGCCGACGATATTTTCACGTTGACTGGTATTGAGACTGTTCGTTCCGGTAGAACATAGACCTGACGAATTGTTCGTGCTGGATAACGAATCTTGCGTTGATTAACATCGAATGTCGTTGTAATGCATCTATCATCATCACGCATTGTCACTGTTCGTTCATCTGCATTGATAATGAGTTTATATTTACTAATGAAATCCATTCCTAATATGCATTCGGCACATAATTCCTTCACAACATATCCTTTGATAATTGTTGACATGTCACCGATATCAATGCATAATTCTAATGTGCCTAAAATAGAAAGTGATGTGTGTCCGTCAGCTAGAGATGCACTTCTCTGTTGTTTATCGATAAATTGTTGAGTGTGTGGTCTAGGTAGTGCTTGTAATGAAATAAATGTTCGGTTTGCGCCAGTATCAATCATTGCTTTCATTTGTTTATTATTTACAAGAACATCAAGGTAAAGCAATGATGTGTTTAACGTCGATGGATTGCTATATAAATTCGTGGAAGCAACACCATCGACCGGTGCTTCCATTATTGAAAATGCGGACGGGTACAGTCTCGGGCATAATGGCCAAGAGTACCGCAATTAAAACATGCATTCGACCGTCGTGTTGACCTTGTATACTTCGAAGGTTTGCTTTGCCGGTTACCATTGTATGCACTTGATGTGTTTCGATTATACACCGGACGATTATTTGTTGTCGTTGGATGTCGAGGATTACCCAAGGGGGAAACAGCAAACTCCAAAATTGTAACAGAAGTTCTAAAACTTTGAAAGTTCCGGAGTACAGTCTAAACTATTCAAAGTAAATAAAATATGCCGGAGGCCGATGTGGAGTATGTACGGGAGTACGGGAGTATCACATGGAGTACAGGATTACAACACGGAGTACGGAAGTACGGGATTGCATCGTGGAGTACGGGAGTATCGACTGAAATATGTGAATTTCATCCAAAAAAGTCATATTGACAAATTTGTACTCCCGTACTCCCATACTCCAAGTGTACTCCGAGACTCCAGGTATACTCCCGTACTCCAAATGATACTCCTATACTCCACCGTTAAATCTCCGTACTTTAATTGGAATTCAGCACTATAATCGATCTTACACGTTCCAAAGCAGATTCAATGGCTAAATAATGTTATATATTCTATCCGAACATGACGAATGAAGCGTTGTTGTCGCAGGATCGTCCAGATATTAGTTAAGGTCAAATCTATAAATCTGATCCCCCTCAGCTTTATGTTTGATGTTTGGAAAACATTCTTTTGTGAGCAAAACGTTCTTAGACATCGAAGAGGATATAGTTTCGTATAAACAAAGCTGCAAAAATTCAATAAGCGATCGGAGTTTTGGAGTATGGGAGTACCGTTGGGAGTATCGGAGTAGCATTTGGAGTACCGGAGTATTGGGATCCTGGAGTGCCGTTTCCCCCTTGGGATTACCTCGATAGAAATTATTGTTCGACGTTGGTGTAAAGTTCGTTTGATTTGGTTGACTTTGATAAGCAGCTGAATTCAAGTAAGTGTCTGTTGCGACGGTGTCAAGATCTGCTTGTTTGAGTGCGAAAATATCTTCAATTTTGCGTGCCGATGATAAAAATGCTTCGGTTGATTTTGGATCTTGTAACGCAACATGTGTTTTCAATGACTCCTTAACTCCAGCCAACAAATATTTTAACTTCAAAGAATCAGGCATCGTAGGATCAACTTTCTTGCATAATTCGATAACCTTGTCGTAATATTGAGTAATAGACTGATTGATCGTTTGTTTGTACCACTTTAATTGTTCAAACGCCAATTCTTGTGCTCGTGTTGAGCCAAAGGCACGTATTACTGCATCTGTGAACGAGGACCAAGTCTTGATTGTGACAGATGTCTGCACCCACCATCGATAGGCATCTTCTTGTAGATGTATCGATATGTACTGCAACTTGTTTTCATCGTCCCAGTGTGCCATCGTAAATCGTTGTTCCAATTTTTCTAACCAATCATGTACATCATCTTGTGAGCCACGAAAATACGTCGGTCGTTTGATTATCTCATCAGCCATCGTTCGTTGTAGATGCGATATAGGTGAATGAACAGGTACAGTAGACGCTGATGCGCCAGTACCCATGATAGGATTTGTCGTTGACGTCGTTGTCGATGCATATTGTTCGAGAAATAATTTGGTGAATTTTTCAAAATTCAGGATCGTTTCGATGTTGGCCACATACCATAAATAGGCTTCTTCTTCCAATAGTAACGATATCGCGGCGAATTGGTCATCACGTCGTAATTGCTGTACTTTGAATTGATTCATAGTTTCCAACAACCAACTTCTTGCGTCACCAATACCTGAATACTTGTTGAAGTGTTCATCGATGATCTCTTCCAATGCGTATGATGATTCATTATTGGTTGGTAACTTTTTACTCCGTGGGCGTGTACTACTTTGCCGGCAACTTTGTAAATGTCCCTTGTATCGCTCACAAAAGAGTGACCAATCATCGTTGATTTCGACTTTCTTTTGTTCGTACCAGGCTTTTCCTTCGTCGTTTAAGAACATCTGTGCGCAAGTAATTCGCTGTGATGATGAATAATTTTGCTCATCAAAGAATTTGTTCAGTGCGCCAAATAACTCGTCTGTTCCAAGTCGATCACCTTCCATTAACATTCGTACATGGCTGCGTATTGATTCGTCAGTTGTAAGTGGTCGTGGCGCTTGTCGAGGAATAACTGGTTGTTCTGGTGCTTCCATTGTTTTCGAATCGGTGGTTGGGTTGGGTGATGTTTCGTTATTAATCCTTATTGTAATTTAACTCTGTTTGGTGAATACCGTTATACAGAATCAGCTTCCCGTAGAAAAAGGATTCCTTCGTTGTTGTGCGCTCGCCGAGGGGTTAGAAGAAGAAAGAGAATTTTCTTCTCGAATAGACCGCTGTCACCACTGTTATGTCCAAAGATGTGAAGAGAATAGGCGCGTGTGTTCGTAAGGTCGGTTAGGACATAACTGTCTATTCTTTTATTTTCAAACGTATGTATGGAAGAGACAACAAAGGCAACACGAAAGAAACTACGGGGCTATATAGATGGCATGATATAACATATCATAACAACGACATCTACGTATACTAACATCAGAGCATATTAGAAAAATGCTACATCATCAGAGAATGGCAATTATACTGTCTAGAACTCAAGATCTTTCGCTTACAAGATCTATTGGTACGTCAGTTTCACCAAATATATAGAGGAAGTAGTATTGTGATAATGGCTATGCATGACTCACAAACTGAATATTTCAATTTGACATTGAAATCTTCAAACACTACCTATGTAAAAAAGTGAAAAATCTTATGAAAAATGATAGTGCCGATCGATGTACGTTACGAAGCGTGTTTTACATGTCAAAGGTTGATCGACTGTTGTACGACTATTTGTCGATATAAGAAAACCGTAAATCTTAAGTTAAAGTCCGAGAAACTTGCATTTTTTTAGTTGTTCAGATTACAATCGGTTTTTAATCAGATTTCGACCGTTTTTTTTTCTACATGAGTATTACCATTCGGGCCTTATGTAACGCTTAAAGATATTTTCAATTAATTTAGTAAGAAGTTTCATTATACCATGTCAGCTAAGAACCATAATTCGCAGTTGGACATTGACAGTCTTCTTGAACGTCTACTCAAAGGTCGTCAATATTATTCATCATGCCGTCCTGTTCCGATGTTGGAAGAGGAAATACATTTTTTATGCGACGCATCGAAAGATATCTTTCTCAATCAACCGATGCTTCTTGAACTTGAGGCACCTATTAAAATATGTGGTTAGAAATTATTTCTACAGATCTGATAAGGTTTCTTACGGATCCTCTCAAATAGGTAATCTTTTCGGTCAGTACACTAACTTACTTCGTCATTTCGAACTTAATGGATTTCCACCGACAACACAATATTTGTTTCTTGGTAACTATATTAATCGAGGGCGACAGTCTTTGGAAACAATCTGTCTTCTACTCTCATACAAAGTATACCAATTTCCTATCCACTCGAAATGACATATGTTTGTTTTGATATTTTATTAGTTAAAATATCCGAAGAATATTTTCTTATTACGCGGTAATCATGAGTGCCGATCGATGAACCGTATTTATGGATTTTACGATGAATGTAAGTAATTCTTAGACTTTCGAATTTCTCCAGTGTTAGTAACTGAATAATGTTCCAATGTAAATTTCTAGGCAAACATCGGTATAATATCGAATTGTGGAAATCATTCAATGACGTAAGTTTAATTATTTCTTCGTCTTTGGTAAAAGTTTTTAGATCACAATCACTTAAGTGTTTTAATTGTCTTCCGGTGGCTGCTATTATCTCGGGCAAAATCTTCTGTTGTTCAGGAGGTAATATCTGATTTCTCTCATGTTCTAAATCTGCTTATTCTTTATCACCTAAAGGTCCTTCACCTGAGCTTCACAGCTTAGAACAAATTCGAGAAATCCAGCGGCCAACAGATGTACCCGAAGCCGGTGAGCACAATGCTATTTTCATTACCATATTTATGTTATTTAGGTCTTCTTTGTGATTTACTATGGGCTGAACCGGATGAGAATGTGAAAGGCTGGAGCGAGAGCAATGCTGGTATTTCGTTCAGTTTCGGTGTGAATATAGTGCATGAAGTAAGTTAATTAATACATTTCTGTTGTACCCTTGCTTGACGGACAGTATTGTTTCAGTTCTTAAATCGACATAGTATGGATTTAATTTGTCGAGGACGTAAAGTAAGATATTGTAAGCAAATCGTTGGATATTCTGCTTGTCTTTAAAGTTCCTCTCAAATGGTTACGAGTTCTTCGCTGATCGTCGATTGGTCACTATTTTTTCCGCTCCAGATTATTTGGGTGAATTCGATATTACAGTTCCCATCTTGTCAATTGACGAAAATTTGAAATGCTCATTTATAGTATCGTACATATCTCTTATTGTCTACCATCTTATATTCTTTTATCTTATAGTTTCTTTATCCGAATGACAGTCAATCCAAAAAGCAAGTTAATGAGAATGAGACTTTCCATGTAGAACTTGATCATGGCAGATTAGCCAAAATATCATTAGCTCAAATGGGTGATGATGAAAAATGTGTTCATTGGGGTGATATAGACCATGATGTATCGATTAAAGAATAAACACTCAATACAACTAGCAGAATTGATGACTAGTTTCTAAGTGTTGAAAAAATGATTTATTAATCATCTTACTTTTATACAAAATGCTCATTGTGATTGAATGACTTGGGGCTAGGCTGAATGCTACCAAGCGGGCCCACAAGTTGCGGATAGTAGAACGGCCATTAGTAGAATGGTTAGCTGCGAATAAGAACAAGCAATTGTTCCAATAAGCAGTCCCGGACAATTCAGACTTCTTGCTAGCACGGTGTGATGGAGTTTTGGCTGGCATCGAAACCCCTATAAAATACTACAGAAGCCCAAAGACAGCAAGAAAAACAAGGCGAATATAGACCGCCAGAAATAAGGCTCATTGGAACTAAGTTTTACAAGCCTTAGCCACAAAAGGTGAAGTACGTTAGCCTTGATTAACGATTCATCAAATGGAGTAAACCATTCAACCCGGCGGAAGGCAAGGGGAAACCACCGCTGTACAATCCCAAGCACAACATGATAAACGTCAAAAATTCCAGTCTAGATAACAGCGTGAACGAGGTTCTTTCTAAGAACTCATTTAGAATAGGAACGTGGAAAGTAAGAACTATGTTTCAAAAAGGGAAGTTAGAAAATGTAAAGAAGGAAATGAAACGATTGCAGCTGAATGTATTAGGTCTGTTCGAAGTTAGATGGACAGGAGCTGCATCCTTCGCAACAGGTGACTATACCTTAGTCTACTCTGGAGGAGATCAACATGAGAGAGGAGTAGGCATGCTTTTGGACAAACAAACATCTAAAAGCATAAAAGGCTACTGGGCGGTCTCGGACAGAGTACTTCTTATAAAGCTCTACGGTAGACCTTTCAATATTTCCATCATTCCAGCATATGCGCCAACATCTACTTATGATGACGATGCAATCACGGATTTCTATGAAGACTTAGACAAAGCATACAAACAATGTAACTCTAATGGGATCGTCTATGTGATGGGTGACTTCAATACGAAAGTGGGAAACGGAAGAATTGGCAACACAGTAGGACCTTTTGGTCTAGGAGCCAAAAATAAGAGAGGTGATAATCACATAATCTCGTCATCATTAATACATGGTTCAAGAACCTCCCACGTAGATTATGGACATGGAAAAGCCCTGGAGACCGTACGAGAAATCAAATAGACTACGTTATGGTCGATCATCAATTTAGGAATTCAGTCATCTCTTCTAAAGCATTTCCTCGAGCAGACTGTAGTTGAGATCATGTCCCAATCATCAGTGAAATTCGAGTGAAATTGAAAAGACTGAAGCAGCCAAAACAAATTCCTAAGCTTCAAGTTCATCTTCTCAAGAATAATAATGACCTGAAAGAGCAATTCTGCATAAAGGTACAGAATCGATTCGAAACACTGAACGAAATAACAGAGATTGAAACATTTTAGGAGCAAATGAAATCTTCCATAGTAACATCTGCGGAAGAAATACTCCCTAAAATCAAGCTAAATAAGAAAAAGAGATGGATGACTGACAATATCTTACAACTAATGGAACAGAGACGACGCAAAAAGTCAAATCCGCTTGAATACAAGCTTCTAGACAAAGAAATCAAAAAGAAATGTTCGGAAGCAAAAGAAATATGGCTAAATGAGCAGTGCTCAGAAGTCGAGAATGAGCTGAATGTGAACACCAGATACGCTCATAAAAAGATAGATGAAATCATAGGGAAACCCAGATGCACAAGTTCTGGATGTATCAAATCAAAAAATGGAGCAATCCTCATAGAGAAACAAGATGTACTGAATAGATGGTCAGAATATATAAACGAGCTCTTTGACGATAATAGAGCTTCCAAACCAATAATAAAGAAAAATATAGAAGGACCTTCAATAATGAAAGATGAAGTAAGACACGCCATAAAGTCAATGAAAATGAACAAAGCTACAGGTCCTGACGGTATATCCGTTGAAATGATTCAATGTCTAGATGAAATAGGTGTCGATGTCATGACAAAACTAGTAAATAAGATCTATGACACCGGTGATATCCCAGAAGATCTAACTAAATCCATATTTATAGCTCTTCCAAAAAAGTCGGGAGCTACCGAATGTGAACTTCATCGCACAATCAGTCTTATGAGTCACGTAACAAAAATTCTACTCAAGATTCTAATGCTGCGTATGAAAAATAAGATCACACCAGAAATAGCCAAAGAACAATACGGATTCATGCCTGACAAAGGTACCAGAAATGCCATCTTTATCCTTCGCATGATAATCGAAAGATCCATAGAAGTCAAACACGACTTATATCTATGTTTTCTTGATTACACAAAAGCTTTTGACAAAGTCAAACATGACAATCTACTCGAAATTCTAGATCAGGTCGATATTGATGGCAAAGATCTTCAATTAATACGAAATCTCTACTGGAATCAAAAAGCCGCCATGAAAATAAACGGTGACACTAGCGAATACACAAATATCAAGAGAGGTGTCAGACAAGGTTGTGTTCTATCTCCAGATCTCTTCAACATCTACAGTGAAATGATACTTAGAAATCTAGAAGATGTAGAAGGAATGAAAATAGGAGGTTATAACTTTAACAACCTAAGATATGCAGACGACACTGTATTGATAGCTAGCACTGTGGAAGACCTACAGGAAATGATTGATATAGTCTCAAAAGAAACTTTGAAGATGGGACTATCACTCAGCGTCAAGAAATCAGAATGCATGAGCATCTCAAAGAGTAAAAGCCCTCCGACATGCAACGTAAACATAAATGGAGAGCAAGTCGAACAGGTTCTTCGCTTCAACTATCTCGGATCTGTCATAACATCAGATGGGCGTTGCGATGAAGATATCAAAAAGAGAATTGCTCTCTCCAAACAAGCGTTCCAAAAGATGAGTCCGATTTTGAAAAATAGATCCATATCGATCAGCACTAAAACAAGAGTCCTCAAATCTTATGTCTGGTCGATTCTGTTATACGGATCTGAATGTTGGACAATTAACAAAGAGATGGAAAGACGCTTGGAGGCCACCGAAATGTGGTTCCTAAGAAGAATGCTAAACGTCCCCTGGACAGCTAAAGAAACCAATGAGTCAGTACTAATAAAAGCAAAATGGAAAAGATGTATAATGAATACCATCCGTTATAGACAGCTGAAATTTCTTGGTCATATCATCCGAAAAGGTTGCTTAGAACACCTGGTTTTGAGCGGAAAAATTAATGGAAAGAAAGACAAAGGCCGATCAAGAATCAAGTACCTCGAAAACATGAACCTCTGGATCGAAAAACGAGGTCACGAGCATATTGACTTCCTTCACGCAGCACAAGACCGGAAGAATTGGCGTATCATGTTAGCCAACGTCTGTAACAGATAGGGCACTCATCTGATCTGATCTGATAATAAGGTGTAAAGTATATCAATGGTTTGACAACGCTATATTGGATATATGTGAGTATTCTCACGAATCGTCTGTTATTATTTGAGATAATTTTGTCTGTAATGAATAACTGGAATATTTTCATGAAGAATACTTTTGTACAGTGCTATCCTACATACATAGTTTCTTTTTTCATCCTATTGATATGACATCATGTCATGATATATGCATACGATATGTATATCTTATTCCGTTCTTCGATCATACATGAATACATGCGTCATTTGTCTGGTATGTTCAAGTGCATATATTTTCGCTCTTGTTCTCGTTCTTTCTGTATAAAATGACACATACTCTCTTGTACCTTTTAGTAAATCCTCTTATTCCTATCGTTTTTCAGCGAGCTCGTGATTTTCTTCGTAAAAAACTATATAAACCTTCTTATTGAAACAGTAAAGTCATTATATATCTCACTAAATACTACTATTATACGAAGACATATGAGTTCGAAGAAATCCACTGATTCCAATCATCAGAAACACTGAACTCGACAGTCTACGCAATTTAACAATGAGTCGAACGATGAAGAAGTTGATGTCGAAATGTCTTCGACTCTTCAAGATAGTTCCCATGAATCAGATAATGGCGTGGTGGTAAAGGATTCAGGCGATGAATCTGATGCAAGTACTGGTGAAACTGGGAATGATAGTGATGATGAACCACCCGGACGTCGAGCAAAACGTCAACCACAAGTTGAACAATCACCAGTTCAAATATTTACAGCACAATCTAGACATCAATGGGCGACCTATCTTTCGTGCGACTCTATGAGCAAGAATCGTTTCAAAGCCTTACTTCAGCTTAGCTCGATTACAAGTATGCTATACGCCCGGTGGATCGCTCACGGTAGACGAACAGTTTATTCCAACTCGTGGCCGATGTAATTTTCGTCAGTATATGACTAGTAAACCGGGGAAATGTGCCCTGAAGACCTTTTGGTGTTGTGATTCAAATACAGCATATCCTTTGAATAGTGAGGTTTATCTAGGTCATCACGCTGGAGCAACAGCAGCAGCTAATGCAAATCGAATTCGTAATTTGGTAAAACGATTGGTACATCCTTGGATCAATACAGGAGGAATCATTACTGCAGATAACTATTTTACCAGTGCAGAGTTGGCAAAGAATCTTCTAGGTGTTCAAACAACTCTTGTAGGAACTATTCGACAAAATAAAAAGGAAATTCCACGAGGGCTGCAACCGAATGCACAACGTCTTGAACAATCATCGATATTTTCTTTTGATCGACAGTTAACATTAGTTAGTTATGTGCCGAAAAAATCTCATGCTGTAATTCCGCTGTCATCTTTTCATCATGATCAGACAATTGTAGACGATGCAAAGAAAAAGCGAGAAATTATCTTACATTACAATGACACAAAAGGTGGTGTCGATCATATGAATCAAATGGTTCAAACTTATTCCTGTAAACGAACGACAAAACGGTGGCCAATAACGTTCTTTTTCAACATACTTGACATTGATCCTCTTGCTGCTTTTCTAACGTCGACAACCAAAACTCCTCAATGGAATGAGAAGAAAAACTACCGTCGCCGTCTATTTCTAATAGAACTAGGTTATGATCTTATTCAATCGCATTTGGACCGACGACGACAGCAACCACATGCACTTCAGCAGACTGTTCGAATAGCCATACAAGCACTTGGACTCACTGTTACTACTTCACATCCAACTATTGTTTCAGCATCTACTGGCAAGCAACGTTGTCATCTTTGTCCAAGAGAACGTGATCGAAAGGTTAATACTCATTGTTCAAGTTGTAATGCTCCTTGTTGTCCAGATCACCACACAGTTATTTGTACTATGTGTAACGAAACATTATCAGGAAAAGTGCGGACTATAAGAAAATGTTTCAGAAATAAAAGATAAAATAACGAAATATAGATCCTTTCCTATAAGAAACTAAGTCTATAAGACGCAACTTATATATAACATAATACTATTATAGTATGCTACTTAAGACGCGTATTATATGTATCTCATTGAGTTGGGGTCCGTGCGGATCCCAGGTGGGTAATAAGTGGTAGTCCTATAAGTGGGCGTATGAGGGTTAATTACGAGTTCCATCATTTCTAGAATGCATCTTTTGGCACTAGGAGGGTTTAAACTCTCATCTCATGCGTTTGCGAGTGATAGAAACGATTTTTTTTTTGATGAAAAATACTATCAACAATGAGTCGTGATGAAAGAAAAAACGCCCATCGAATCACAGCACGCTTTCAACGTGCATTACACTTCTTCTTATTTACTATTTCGCGACGAGCGATCATCTGAAAAACAAATTTCGACTTCGATTTCACTTTTCTGCTTCGTCGGATTTAAACACAAATGCAAATGTCCTTAACTCCCTATATAAGACGAGATTTAGTCCCCCATGCAAGACGAGTGCGAAGATCACCGATCAGAATACGCAATTTAGATACATCGTATAATAGTCATCAATCATCGTCGCGTATTATAATTTTAAATATTGAAGATACAAGAGGAGCTTCATCAGGAACACAGTAGGAATTCCATTGCTTTTTGTAACGAATTTTAATTTGATTTCTTTATCTTTTAGAACTTCCACCTGGTGTTTGAGATTTCTCGTAGGTCTTCTCATTGGTCTACTTCTCTTAACAGTCATTCTTGTTCCAGTTTTGGTGACAGTTCTTAGAAGTATGCAATACATTCATTCGAAATCTAAAAATATTATCCTATTGTCTTGATTTTTAACAGCAACGACAACAACAACCTTCACGACGACTACCACCACCACCACAACAACAACAACAACAACAACGACGACGACGACAACGACAACGACGACGACTACGACTACTACCACAACGACTACCACCACATCAACTTCTACTACTTCGACGAGTACATCGACGACCTCAACTACGTCCAGTGCTACAACGACGACAACTACGGCAACTGAAACAACCACTACAATTACAGTTGTTCCGGGTTGAATGAGTATCACAACATATTCGGTATATATTTATAAAGCTAATTTATTCTTCACTTAATTGAAACTGTATGTGCAACTATATGCGATTCTCTTCCCATTTCGAGCAACAGCTGTTGTATACGTCCATAATGATGCTTTTCATTTGAAAATAAAATTGCCATGCGAATATAATTGTAGATAAAAGATACAACCCTGGCCTACTTTCAAAACGTTCTCTTGTCTAGATTTATAGCTGTTGTTACTTCAGCAAATAAAAACAATTGATGTAAGCTGAGAGTGAGAGCGGATGAGAATCCGATACAGATATACATGTGTAACACAATCGTCTAAAGTACTGAAGGAACAAATTAATATTTTAACGGTATTGTACAGCATTAAAATATGTGGTTTTCTTCGATTTTATTTTCGTTAGATTTCTAAAAATCAGGGCTCCCGATCAGGGGGGCTGGGGGGGGCCCCCCCCCCCCCCCCCCCCCCCCCCCCCACACCACGCCCCGCCGCCCCC